AACAAGCGTGTTGTGTGTAGTAGTCTACGTGCTGCTGAGAGGAAAAGCTGACGATTTTGTACGGAGACCGCCAGCACGGGTGTTATTTTTTCAACCAGCTCAAAATTTGTTTTGGTTCCGATTCTGGCAGCACGCACTTGGACCTACAACACCTACGTACCTCTCTGTGCACCAAGCACGAACACCCCGGCTCTGCACATAGTCATGGAGGCTTGGCCTTGGTACTGACGTGGGACACATTTGTCCCCCCGTGGTCGTGTAACGTGAGAAACATCGCAAACAGTTCTAATATATATATTCATACATCCATACATACCCCGAAACGAATCGCGCCCGACTCCATGTGAAGCTTGCACGACCGACACCGATTGGTCCCTCTGGGAGATGCATACGAGATGGTCAGGCTGTCGCAAGTCCATGCTTTTCCCTCCATCTTGCTGAGATGGATGTGATCGGCTTGTGGTGTGTATGTGTGTACTTACGGGGGATGACATGAGATGATGTTTCAACAGATATCCATCCACAACAATCCATCTTTTTCACCCAACGAATATAAAACGGCCTTTGCACGTTTCTGTTTGAAAGAAGCAAATTTGCTTGCTACTGTCCGCAGAGAAAATTCTCTCACAGTCTCACACGCTCACGACAAGCCAGTTAGTGAACAGGCGACCTCTCTTTGAAGAGCAAGGATTTCCTCCTTGAAGTTAAACGAGACGGTAGAACACTTACTAACTTACTTGTTGCTATCCTGCAGCTGTATGCATACGCGATAAACGCTGTCGTGGGAAAAATCGAGTGGATGCATAAAACGGTCGTTGTCCCGTGCGGATCCATGACACTTACTATTACTAATAGTTGTTGTTGTTGTTGTTGACTTCACATTAAACCGTATGCCAGTTGCTAAATGCCAAAATCTAGCAAAGACTCTCAGCTCGTGGTCACGAAAGTGCTAGAGCCATCTGAGGATCTAAAGAACACGCACACGTAGCAAGAAAAAGGTATCCAAGAGCCCGAAGAGGTACTACTACACCTATATATAATCCCTGCAGCACCGTACGCGTGCCCAAAACTGAACTACACGTCCGTCTCACCGTTCGACTACAGCAACATCACCCCCTAC